TGTATCAATAAACCAAAATCCATACCAATATAAATTTTGAAATTAATAGTTGTTTTTTGATTTAAAGATTCAGTAATCTACCCTTTTATCTCATTATTTTTGTATCATACCCCCTTTTTCCTTTAGAAAGAGGTCTTTGCATTTAACTCTTTTGTTTAGCTTTTTTTCTGACTATTACCAATCACTACTTGTACCCAATCCCACTAAACCATGACAAACATTTATAATTCATTGAATAACCTAAACATACCCATACTCCATCTCTTGGGAATTTGGGCATCATTCTCTAGACACTTCCTGTTGTCTGTGGGCACTGGTATCTCAAGGGGAACCTTAAAATTAGGATAATTGTTAAGTCTCTTAGTTGGAGTTGTTTGTGAGGCTGGACCATTTCAGCCAGCACACATAAAGCTATTCTGGATGCAAAATTCTGAGGAGAATGTAGCAAAGGCATTTTGAGATGCTGGATCATCTGATCATCTGGATCATCCTTTTTTTATTGGTGTTTGCTCCCTTGTTCTGAAAATACATAAACTCCCCCCCCCCCCGCTGTCCTGGAAATAGCTCTTATAAACCAGGCTGGCCTCAAACTCACAGAGATCTGCCGGCCTCTGCCTCCTGAGTGCTGGTATTAAAGGCACGCACCACCACTGCCAGGCATGAAAATACATAAACTTTTAAGGGTGACATATATGGCTGTATCAATACAAGTATAGACTATGTACTGCACAAGTTAGCCAAAGGTGATTTTGTTTTATGTTTGAGCAGTTCCTGTTGGGCTTCACAGTCATGTGTGTCAGTGTTATTAGCCAGTTTTGCTTCCTGACTGTTGGTCTAACCGTCATGTGGAGGGTGACGCTATGCCCAAAATGATTTGGAGAGACAGGAGTGTGCACCAACTTCCCACATCCCTACAGTTGTGGAAAGTCTGACTCTATCACCAGTTCTTTATTTCAGTCATTCCTAAGGTCCTACTTCCCTTTCCACTTTTAATACGGAAGCTAGATAACCACTTTTACTAGTTGCTGAAGTCTGAGTTTATTCTACCCTGGCTTTTTGTTGTGAGATATTTGATTACACTGTGTAAAGATACATCACTGTGACTGTTTTAATAAAAATCTTAAGAGCCGGGCGATGGTGGTGCATGCCTTTAATCCCAGCACTCGGGAGGCAGAGGCAGGCAGATCTCTGTGAGTTCGAGACCAGCCTGGTCTACAAGAGCTAGTTCCAGGACAGGCTCCAAAGCCACAGAGAAACCCTGTCTCGGAAAACCAAAAAAATTAAAAAATTAAAAAAATTAAAAAAAATAAAAATCTTAAGAATCAATAGCTAGGTAGGAGGTATAGGTGGGACTTCAGGACAGACAGAGTACTGGGAAGAAGAAAGGGTTATTCGCCAAGAAAGGGTTAGTTGCCAGTGGGATGCAGAGGAAACAGGATATGCCGAAGGAGAGGGAAAAACCACAAGCCATGTGGCAGCACACAGATGGATAGAAATGGCTAGTTTAAGTTATAAGAGCTAGTTAGGAACAAGTTGTAGCTAAGGCCGAGCATTTATGATTAACAAGAAGTCTCTGTGTTATTATTTGAGCACTGGTTGGGACAGAGAAATGATGTGGGAGTGTCATATATCAATTTGTTGATTTCATTGGTTAAGCAACAAAGAAACTGCTTGGCCCTGATAGGTTAAAACATAGGTGGGAGGAGTAAACAGAACAGAATGCTGGGAGGAAGAGGAAGTGAGCTCAGACTCGACAGCTCTGCTCTCTGGAGGAGAGACGCCATGCTCTTCTCTCCCGGACAGAGGTGATAGCTCTGCTCTCTGGGGCAGACGCATGAAGCTCAGACCCAGGATGGACGTAGGCTAGAATCTTTCCCGGTAAGACTGATGCTACACAGATTATTAGAGATGGGTTGATTGGGATATGAGAATTAGCCTGTAAGGGCTAGAGTTAATGGGCCGAGCAGTGTTTAAAAGAATACAGTTTGTGTGTTGTTATTTCGGGGCATAAACTAGCAGGCGGCTGGGGTGCTGGGGACGCAGCCCCGCCGCTCATATTACAACAGAGAAATACTCATTATAACTCACCCCCCCCCCACACACAAAAGGTCACAGTAACTTCTTTTGTTCTTGTTCTTTTTTATAGTTCCAAAGTATTCAGTTGAATGGCCAAGTAACACTTAACTGTTGAGATCTAAGCAAAAATTTCACCGTGTGTTTTTATTTAAACACTGTCTATTATATCAAGTGGTGAGGATCTTAGCAGAAAGGTCTTTTTAATTAATTTATTTATTTGGCTTTTCAGGCTGGAGAGTTGGCTCAGCCATTAAAGGCTAGGTTCACAACCAAAAATATAAGAAATGTCTTGTTTTTCCCTATTCCTTAGGATCTACAGATGTCTAGCATGTTCTCAGTCAACAGTTTGTTGGAACGACACACTTCTATTTTCTATGAGTGATTTTATTGTATGCTCAAATCCTTATTTTCATCAGAGGCACCCCAAACCTAACTATCCCATCTCTGCCTCAGACCAAACCATCTGCCACTTCCACATCTCATGGCGATGTTCCATCTCAGTGTTTCTATACCTAAACTGTCTCTAATAGTCTATTACTACTTCTGGACTTCAGTCTCTGTTCCTTTCCGACCCCTCCAGCTCCTTCAAGTGGCACTGCAGTGTCCTTAGTCTGGTTTTCCCGCTTAACCTTATCCTGTTCAGCTATTGGCCAGTCAGCTTCTTTATTAAACCCATCACCGCGTAATTTACACAGTGTACAGGATTATTCCATAGCATTCTTCCCTCTTTTCCTTTGTTGCAGAGCTGTGGACCTAGGGCTTAGCACACACAAGACGAGTGTACTACCACTGAACCACATTCCATAGCAAACTTCCTTGAAGAGGTCCGTGCATGGATCAATAGTCTCTACTTGTCTCTCCCTACCCAAACTCCTCACCTGTCTCATTGGGTTTCTGTGTCTTCAGACATCAAGCCACTAGAGATTTTATCTGATTATTTTTACCTATCTACCTATTTTTTTTTGAGACAGAATCTCATTATGGAATTTTGAGTGGCCTGGTAATGAATATCAAGGCTGAGCTTAAACTCAGAGAATCACCTGCTCTGCCTCCAAATATTGGATTTGAAGGAGTGTGCCATGATGCCCAGCGTTTTGTTTTTAGACAGGCTCTCAGCCCAGGCCTTGAATTTAAGGTAATATTCCTGCTTCATCCTCCCAAGGGCTGGATTACAGATTAGAGCCACTGTATCCTATGGAAGTAAGTGCAGGATGCATGTGTGCGGCTAGGGATGGAAACCAGGTGCTCAGCAAGTCCAGGTACGCTGATTCTATCACTGAGCCACATCCAACCTTTATTAGAGAACGTCTCCTCCTCCACCTTTTGGGTTTTCAAGACAGGATTTCTCTATCTAGTTCCAGGCTGCTCTGGAATTTACTCTAGACCAGGTTGGCCTCCAACTCAGAGATCTGCCTGCCTCTGCCTCCTGAGTGCTGGGATTAAAGGCGAGCACCACCACCACCCAGTTTAGAGAATGTGTAAGTTTCTGTGATACTGTCATTCCCTAACCACCACCACCCAGTTTAGAGAATGTGTAAGTTTCTGTGATACTGTCATTCCCTAACAACTGTGAGGTATGGTCCCACCTCGACCTGTTCTAGGACTTTTTAGACAACTCTTCCATTCCAGTACAGTCCTGTCCTGTTTGTCTACTGGTACCTAACCAGGCAGCCATTTGATATGGCTTGAGTGAATCTCCCTAGAATTCATGTGTTGGGCGCTCTCTCCTCAGACTGAGATGTTGGGGAATGACAGAACCTTTGAGAGGTTGTCTTAGCACAAAGGGATTCCTTGATACCGGTACTGGAGAATGAGTTTGTAGTCCTTAGAAATCGAATTATTATACAAGGTACTAGAAAAATAGAGTGGCTGTAGGGCCCGGGTCTACCCTAGTTCTTGGGGGTTCATCTTGAGGACAGTTTCTGGTCAGCCAGCTAAAACATTCTGTTTGTTCCTGAGCTCCCTCTGCCCCACCTGGTGATTAGCTGCAGGGCATTGTTTACTCCATCTTTGGTGTGGTAATTTCCCCACCTGCCTGGGTGGAAAATCCTTGTGCAGCTAGGTATATAAGGATTTCTCCAAGGCTAAATAAACACATTTGGCTGATCTCCTTTCGAATGACCCAGGTCTCTTTGTGTGTTCTTTCAATCTCTAGGCCCTTGCCCGACTTGTGTACGGTACAGTGGCCTGCAAACTGCACCAAGGGAGTAACACAGAATCTGGTGTTACAAGTGGCAGAGCCTAGAGTTGTTTGGTTTTGTTTGGTTTTTGTTTTTTGAGACAGGCAACCCAGAATCCTGAAGGCTTGAGGCTAATCGGAGTTCAGGCCTTTAATTGAATTCCGGGGGGTGGGGGGGTGGGGTGGGGGTGGGGGTGTTGACGACCACTGGTCCTTTGGGTTTTTGGGAGGGGATTTGGTACTATCGAGAGATCTGTCTGGTCTGTCTTTATTGGACCTCTTTTATGACTAAATTTTAGGCCTAGTCTTTCCATTCTCTTGCTTCTACCTCCCTGGGGTGAATTCCATGCCTGTGTTGCTACAATCACCCTTCTGTGTGTCTCTTTTCAGCTCAGCAACCCCTTAGCTCCTTTTCCATTTTCCTGGATCATCTATCCTGCCCAGGTATCTAAAGACATCTAGTTCACCCCTGGGTCTCCATCACTGGGGTCACTGTAGTCAATCCTTTCCATCCACCTTAGAGGTTGTACCCGGGTGTAATAAGGGTACCGACTGCTTTATCAGTTCTCAGCCCAATATGGCGTGCTCCAGCTTCCGCACCACCCTCAAAGATGGCAGCCCCCATCTGGAGACCGCCATATTTACCCTACGAGACGCCCCGCCAGGGCCTGACACGACCGGAATGTGACGCAAAGTGGAGGCGGGGCTCCTCCCCCCAAACCCCTGGCGTCGAGTGTCTCGTGACAGGCACTTCCGCTCGGGGCGGCGGCGGTGGCGGAAGTGGGAGCAAGGCCGGAGATTTGGCCATAAAGCCCGAGGCGGCGGCGTTGGCTACGGTGTTTGGGGCTGGGCAGGTCCGAGGAGCCTGCTGGAGCCGGAGTCGGACTCTCTGTCGCGGCCTGCGTTGTGTCTCTTCCTCGGCCGACCCCGCGGTGAGTGGCGGGCCCGGGCCGCCCTTCCCCCGCCGCGGCCCCGGCCTCCGGGCCTGGCGTCCTAGGCGAGAGCCGGGCCGGGCCAGGCGGGGCGGCGCCCGGCGGGCGGAGGGCGCGGGGTGACCCGGCGGGCGGCGGGTACGGGGACCCTTGGGCTCCGCGCGTCCTCGGCGGCAGCCCTGCTGGCTGGGAAGAGGTACCGGCCGGCCACCGAGGCAGCGCTGCCAGGCGCGTCACATGCCCCGGCCCGCCGCGGACACCGGGAGACAGGAGCTTTCAGGGTCCTGCACGTAGATAGATCCTATTTCGAAGTCCCAGGGGGCAGGACCTCCTGAGTGTCTCTGAGAAGGCCTGGTGCCCTCCTGGCTGGTAATCGTGCGAATGTGGAGAGTAACGTTGGGAAGATTCGGATTTCTCGTTTGCCTGGGCTGCGTGGCAAGACCGCACAGGTTGCCCTATTCTCCCAGCAGCCCTCCGAAGCACCGAGGCAGTGTCCACTTACAGAGAAATCAAAGAACAGAGAGGTTAAGTTACTCATCCAAGGTCACACCGCTGATAAGTTACACAGAGAGAGACCGAGGCGTCGACACTCTAAGCAATCTACTGGCCTCTGGCCTCTTCTGCTTTAGGTGCTTCCAGAGCTTGCCACCTGTTATCTGTCCATCAGCACCCTCCTCCACCTCCTGTCTAGTGATGTCATTTGAGAGCTTCTTGGTTCTACCTTAAAGCCGGGTTGCATTGGCCGTTGTAACTTACAAGGCGTATCCCGGCAGTGTAGTGTCACCGAATCAGAAGATTTGAGTTCTGGTAAGGTATGTATTGGATTTGAATAGTTTTCGCATCCAGGTCTTTTCTTTGAGTCAGGTCTGGCATGCCTGTCGTCTGCACCTTCCGTTCTATAAGAGTTGATGGGTGCCTCGCTTGTTGAAAATACTCTTTGCCTTCCCACAGAACAGACTCTTCTCTCTTCCTTGTGACATCAGCTGATGACCCGCATGATTGGGTCAGTAAAATCTCCTGTTAGTATGTTTTTCTTCGAGCTTGGGAAGGTTGGTTCAGAATTGAGTTCAAGAGCTGGCAAGTGAGTTTCAGCTACTTCTGAAGCTGGCCGAGCTAAAGTTTGGTATTCTAGAGTGCCTGGCTTTTAGCATTGTTACCCAGCCTGGTCCCCATAAGGAGTGGGAGAGCAGTGGCTGGCACCTTCATTTAGGAAATGTTTTCTTCCATCGTGTGTGTGTCAGGCATTACTGGGTCCTGACTCAGGGAGACAGGCATGGGTCCTGGCCTCCAGGAATGGTGAAAAGGTGAGCCTCACAATTCAGAACTCTGTTTTGGGATGACTGGGCTGTTAGAAAGATTGTGAGGCTTTTGCAGAAAGTGGTTGGTTTTTTAGGTGAGTCAGACATAAAAGTGTTGTGTTCTGGCTAAGCGCTTGAAATATTTGCCAACTTTGTGTGTGGAGGGTGTGCATGTGTGAGGTTGACATTGGGTGTCTTACTTAAATGTCCGACTTCTTTTGAGCAGTGTTTATTTACTAACCTGAAGCTCATCCACTGCTAAGTAAGGTAGGCTTGGCGAAATCAGCCCCCCCCCCCCCCCCCCCCCCCCCCCCCCCCCCCCCCCCCCCCGGGGTTACAGGTGCCTCTGCACCTAGCCTTTTCTTTGTCTTGATTGGAATGTGAGTCCAGGGGATCTGAACTCAAGTCCTTATGCTTGAAAGCGCCTGCGCCATTTTTAGTCCCCATCTTTGTGAGCTTTAGGAACAGTGTTTGTATGGTTTGTTTCTGAAAGAGGGGATCAAATTACAGCTTATGACTGATCACATCTTTTTTTTTTTTTTTTTTTTTTCCCGAGACAGGGTTTCTCTGTGGCTTTGGAGCCTGTCCTGGAACTAGCTCTGTAGACCAGGCTGGTCTCGAACTCACAGAGATCCACCTGCCTCTGCCTCCCGAGTGCTGGGATTAAAGGCGTGCGCCACCACCACCCGGCTGACTGATCACATTTTATGAAGAGTAACCATCAACACTAAACTTGATTCCATTTTTGTTGTAAGTGATATTTTTGTCCTCCCTCCCGCGGAAATGATGCCACTTGGTACAGTACACTATAGTGTGTGAGCAAAGGCACATTTGATATGCTGGGTTTTCCTTGTCAGCTGACAAAAAGCCTAATGTAGCTCCTGCCAGACTTCGTGATGCAGTCTGGATTTAGACAAAGAAACAAACAAACCAGTGCTCTCTGTTTCCTGCAGCTTTCTGGTTCCTTCCTTTAAGGCCAGGTTTACTCTGAAGGTAGACCTCCATGAGTAAACACAGGAGGGTGGGGCTGAGACACCTCTGAAAATAGTCTTATTAGTGTAGTCTTCCAGGTGATTGTTGGCAGCCCCGTGAGTGACTTTCTTGGTTTTCTTTTTTTTTTGGTGCCGATTGTACCTTACAGTCAGAGGTCCTAACCCTGTAAGAGGACAGCCCTTGTAGGAAACGGTCTGTGAATCGGTTTCTGGCTCCACCATCAAGTGAGGCAGGAAAGTTTGGTTCTAGGATTTGCTGTTACTCCATCTTCAAAGAGATCTTGCACTAGTAATCCTTTAACCTTACATTTGCCGTCAAGCTTGCTGTGAAAATACGGTGCAAACCCAGACCCTGAGGTCCACTAGGCATCTTCTGCGTTCAGCCTCCCTGGGTCTGACATGAATCTTTCATTTTTTTTTTTCTGTGATATCCATCCAAGTCAGCAGATAAGGCCGAGATACATGACAGTTTCCCTGGGGAAGTAACAAGGAGGTGGCCTCCTAATCTGGGCTTACCAGCAGCTCCTTTGGGAGCTAGGTCCTCTTTGGAAGGGTCCTGAAGCTCCGCTATGTTTTGGCTACTGCTTTCTGCACCACTGGGGTTGCTCTCATTGTGTTCTGGTTCTGTTCTCACTGTGTTCCCAGACCCTTACCTGTGCTGACCTGTGCTCTTGCTCTGTGGTCTGGGTGCTGTTCTACCTGCAGTTTCTGCAGAGACATTTGCAGAGTTCTCTTGAGTTATTTGTCCTACATCTTTCACCTTTTTGATGGCATTAAAGACTGGAGAGCACTTGCCTTTATGTTTTAAAGTGCAAATAGAAAACAAAACCAGAGCCAGACTTTAAACTGTGTCTGTGAGCAGTGATCTGCAGAGCTGCTGTGATGGGTAGGATTGAAACAGGCTTTAGAAGGCTCCCTGACCAGCTCCACTTTTAATGCTGCACCCTGATTCCAAAACCAAATTTAAGAGGAGCTACTTGCAAAATGTCCCCGTTGGGAAGGAAGAGAACTTGGGATTTGGCTCCAGTGGTGAAGTGACATGCAGTATTGGCTTTGTTCATCTGCTTTAAGATGCAGTAATTAATGCACAGGGTGGGAGTCCAGTCAGAGCTCTGTTTTGGTGATGTCATCACTGCTTTGGAGATGTTTGATTCTGTTGTCCACTTCCTGGTCTCCTAGGATTGCCTGTGTTGGCACAAAGCAGATCTGAGGCAGCCTGAGGACCTGAGCAGTCTGTAGGGTGCACAGCCAGGTCTGCTTCTCACTCAACCTTGCTTATGATGCTGCCAGGCAGAGTGAAGGAGGTTCTTGACGCTCCCTAGGCGTTAAGTGAAGGAAACTCACTTGACTTCCGGAGCCCTATAACAGTTACTGCACATGAGTGAAGTGCACTATATACATGTATGAAAATGACATAAAAATACATGATAATAATTATTAAAATGGTTAACACCATGTGTTCGAGTCTGTGTATCAGTGTAATTTTTAGAAGGTTGACTTCAATTTCGTAAACTTTAGTTTGAGTTGAGCACACAATGACAAAGCTACTATGAATTCAAAGCTACTTAAAAAAAATAGTGGACTGGTGCTCATACACACACAAGCCAGGTACATCTTTTGAATAGGAACTTCTGTAGTCCAGGTTAGCCTTAAATCCTTAAATTGCTAAAGGTGACTAAACTGATCCTTTTTTTCTCTTTCTAAGTGCTGCAACTGTAGACTTCCATCACTGTGTCTCTTAGATATAATGATTGGTCAGCCGGCCAACAATTCTCCATGCGCTTACCAGATCTGGGGACCTTGAAGTAGCTCTAAGTCATCTTTGCAGTTCCTTGTAGAACTGTTTCTAGGGTGTGGTGGCATACACCTTTTGGGAGGCAGACAGGTGAAACTTTGAGTTTGAGGACAGCCTGGTCTACATAGTGAGTTATAGATCAGCCAAGGCAACACAGTGAAGGCACCCCCCGTTTTCTTTTTAAAGCAGCCTGGGTGTGTTGGCACACACCTTTAATCACAGTAGGTGAATCTCTGAGTGAGGTCAGTCTGGTCTACATAGTTCCAGGACAATCAAAGTTACATAGACCCTGTCTGGAGGAAAAGTGCTTTAGCCTGTGTTATTTTGTCACTCACTGCTGGAAGAACATTGTTGACTTGTAGAAACCCTCCTACCCAGCATCTTTTGTAAATACCGTCTAATATTTGTGTGTTACTTATGGGTTCCAGGGAATGTAATTTTATGCTCACAGCCTGGTGTTTCTTGTTGAGGTGGTCATGAGTGGTTGGGTGGCCCAGCTAGAGTGGCATGCCATCCTGCCTTCTCCATCACACGTGTTCCCTGAAGACCTTAGTAGTTGACCTCTTATGCAGATGTGCCTTTCTTCTACTAATTTACTTAAAGCCACATCTTTTTTTGCTAATTATTAAACTACTCAGATATTTTTTTAAGGTAAGAACTAGAAAGAAGAAACGTTTGTAATTTTCTACCTACTAGTTTCTTTCTGCAAATATATACTTTAATTTTATTTATTTATTTCCAGACAGGGTTTCTCTGTGTAGCCCTGACTGTTCTGGAACTTACCCAAGGCCAGGCTGGCCTCAAACTCAGAGATCTACCTGTCTCTGCCTCTCAAGTGCTGGAATTAAAGGTGTGCACTACCATGTATGGCCCACTTTTTAAATAGGCAAATATCTATATGGAAATAAATGTAGA